GTCACATTATAACACCCCCATGGCTGAAAGGGCGAGCATGTTTGGTGGGACGAGGATTCGAACACGCGACAAAAACTGTTGCCCCCCAGAGGCACAGCGGTATGTCTGCGGACTTACAACGCTGGAATCCAGGTTTCGATACCCGTGGTGGACAGAGCACAGATAACCCATTGTGTAGCTTTGTTCTTTAATTACAAACAAACAAACAAAACAAAAACTGTTTTGTTCAAAGTAAACAATTTAGTTCAGTTTTTCTTACAACGTACCAACCACAAATAATGGTTTATATCCTTACATTAACATCCTGGTGGCCTCTTGCACGACACTTTGGGTAATAAAGAAATCTTGTGGTCTCTTACATGAGACTTTGGGTAATAGAGAAACCTTGTGATCTCTTACATGAGACTTTGGGTAATAGAGAAATCTTGTGGTCTCTTACATAAGACTTGAGTAATAGGAAGACCTGGTGGCCTCATGCACGAGACTTTGGGTAATAAAGAAACGTTGTGGTCTCTTACATGAAACTTTGGGTAATAGAGAAACCTTGTGGTCTCTTACATGAGACTTTGGGTAATAGAGAAACCTGGTGATGTTTTGAGTGAGATTTTGAGTAATAGAGAAGTTGGTAATCATTGATGCAGAGAAGAGTTAGCAGTTTTAGGTTTCTGTACAAAGTATGACTAGATTTCATGTTATTCCATTCTTACACGTGTTGTTTTAGGGACACTGCTGGACAAGAGAGGTTCAGAACTCTGACAACAGCTTATTACAGAGGAGCAATGGTATGGATCACGTCTATCTCGTAACGTATATTATAAACTATAAATTATCATTGGGAGCTAGGTAAGGGAGAGAGAAGAACTTGGGGTATACATTTTAACATTTTGATTTAAATCTACCGTATGACAAGCAACCATCTTTAAAGTAAGAATAATTATGATATAATTCAATTCTTGAATAAAAAATATTGTGTAGCTCTGTTATAATAAAAACTTAGTAATAAAGTTATAAAAATTCAATTACGTTTGTCCCAACTCCATATAGGCAACTTTCCGTAATCATCATGACGGTTATTGTTTAAAAGACTTCAGTGTTTTGTACTTTTCATATTTTATTCTCAGCATTAAGTAACAAACAATTTAGTGATTCATGATAACAACGTTGTTTTGGGGAAATGTCAGCTATGTTTCTTCCTTATTCATATCGATTATTTTTTTAGGGTATAATCGTAATGTATGACGTCACTAATATGGACTCTTTTAATCATCTTTCTTATTGGTTCCGAAATATAGAAGAGGTAAGTTGTTGTTTTCTCATTGTCAAGAACATGTTTACTGTTAGATCTTTTTTAAATTTTTGACGTTTAAAATAATTATTTATTCATTATTTGATTGCGTAGACAGTTTGTGATTGTGTATTAATTAATTATCATTTTTAACTAGATTTTATCCTATTAGAGTTGAAGCTATTGAGAATCAAACAAAGTACTTACTTCTTGCTCAAAAATTTCAGAATCAAACAACAAAAGCTTCAGAAATGGTGGGACAATAAGTGACCTTACGTGTAAAAAAAATGTTTGTTTTAAATATGTATTGTGAGTTAGTATATTGATAGAATATTGTGATTTTAATTTATTATGTATTGCTGATTTTATAACGTGAGTGATTTTCTCCCCTAGAATGCTTCCCCAGATCTAGTAAAAGTTTTGGTTGGAAACAAGTGTGATGTCACACATCTTCGACAGATTGAAAGAGAGAGAGGAGAAAAAGCACGTGTCGCTTTAAGTATTTCTTTTGATGTTTCACAAAATATTTCAATTTACGTTTTTTGTTTGTTTTGTATCTCTTTATAAATATTATATGAAAATTTATAGGGTTTTAATAACGCAAACTGTTTATTAGATCCTACTCCACCACGTTTTATTAATTATGTTTCTGACATAGACAAATTTGAATGTAATACTTGCAGCACTACCTGAATAAGTATAGCATTTTTGTGAATATTACAATTACTTGAGAAACACGAATTATCCACTTACAATAAACGAACTAATCTTCTCTAAATAAACAAGATAGTGTTAATATAAACTCAATTAAAATAACTTGTTAATTTTAGAAGGCAATATAATGATAGCTTCCAGGACAAATATGTGTGAATACAATTTATTGTACATGACAAAACAATGATATTGACTGAGAAACGACTGACTGTCTTACTGTCTAGCATCCAAAGTAGTTGAAGAAAAATGATGATAACTGAAACGATTTTAGACACACTGAAGGAATATAAAAACTACAGGCGTTTTTTTTTTGTTTGTTTTAGAGTCACATTGGGCTATCTGCTGTGTCCCCCACGGGAATCAAACCCCGGATTTAAGCATTGTAAGCCCGTAGACTTACCGATATCCCATCGGGGGTACACCATAGACACACGCATAGTTAGGAATTTGGGTGGATCATATTATATTAGCTGTTAGATGCATCAGTTATATAAGTAGATTTTCAACCGTTATTTGTCTTCCGAAACAAAGACAGAATATGTTTGCTTTCACTTATATGTGAATACTAAAATCGGTAATTTGTCTGCTTGTATTATTTTGAAATGTTCATTCTGGTATTTCGTTTTAAAATAATTAATAAAACGTAATTGTTGTTTCTATTTTAATGTTTATAATTTCGTTTTTCTCTTATATGGGCCCCGATGATTCAGCGGTAAGTCTGCAAGAATCTAACCCTAAAAACTGGGTTTCGATACTCGTGGTGGGTATAGCACGGATAGCACACTGTATAGCTATGCTCTTAACAACAAACAAACCTTTATATGGATGTGTCAGCGGCCATCTGAACCAACTCGAACTCATACCTATAGAATACATTGTAAAAACAAATTAACACAACATTATACCTGTGAATACAGAATTTCATTGGCAGGTAAATAATTTACGAATGGTTTGTTTGTTTTGAATTTCGCGTAAAGCTACACGAGGGCTATCTGCGCTCGCCGTCTCTAATTTAGCAGTGTAAGACTAGAGGGAAGGCAGCTAGTCATCACCACCCACCGCCAACTCTTGGGCTACTCTTTTACCAACGAATAGTGGGATTGACCGTCACATTATAACGGCTGAAAGGGCGAGCGTGTTTGGTGGGACGGGGACTCGAACCCACGACCCTCAGATTGCGAGTCGAGCGCCCTAACCACCTGGCCATGCCGGGCCTTTGCGAATGGAGAGGTATAGGAAAACAATTGTGAACGATATAGAATGAAATGTGAACGTACTCTGTGACTCTCACTGAGGCCCTTCAATGTAACGTCCTTCGAAAACTTTGCTAATTAATATATATACACCATACACCATAAATGTCACTAGTAAAGGTGTAGACGATAATGAATGAAATATTTTAAACTAAACTTTAACATAATCGCTCCACAACAACAACAATATAACTACAAATAAGGTAAACATCCTAACAGTATTACGAAAATATGGCAAGCAAACAACAGTTCTGTTCTAAGTATTGCCCAAATGTGACAAATTCCAATATGGTGGCTTCGTTAGCAATATTAGTTGCTGTACTTGGCCTGCCTGCACAACATCTATACGTAAATGAGCCTGTAGTACGCAGCCGCTGACATACATTTCCTATAACCTGATGTTAAGAGTAAGATTCGTCTGGGACACATTCGTCATATAGTCTGATAGCAGCCTAGGCATTCCGATGACATTCTCCATACAGTAGAGCCGTGATAAACTGTTCTTCAACTGAATAATCTGTCATTATTTATTTCTTTTGGTGCAAGTGTATCACAATACCTGTGTGCTACCTTATATAGTAGGCTTTTATATTAATATTTGGTAACCTTTTGACCCTTCAAAGGGGCAAAGATCTACTTATGCAAAATTCTGACCATACAGGTCAAACCTAGGTTTGTGTAACAACCTTTAATATAATCGGATCTCATTCTTCTATGGCACAACTCCATATGTATGCAATGTATTATGGCACAACACCATATATATGTAATTATTAAGTATGGATCAACAAGGTTTCCAAATAATTCACGCCCTGAAAAACCATCCTAATGTTTTTCTAAGCAAAAACCGACCATTCAAAGTATTGGTTACTGTATATTATGCGCATATACACTAATAATACGCTAAAAAGGCCACTAACATTTCCGGTATAACAATTCAAAAATTTCTAAAACAGTAACTTTTTTCATCTACTACCTATCAACCTACCTGATCACGTCAGCGGTGATAGCACCTAGATGGTTCGGACTATCGCTAAAAGATTTCTCCACCTTACTTGAATGGTCTGAAGGCATCCGCTTTTGATATTCCGATAAATATATACACATTTTTTTTTTAAATGGTAAACATATTATGCTTGTCTGGCTAGAAATAAGCACAAAGCTACACAATGGACTCTGTGCTCTACCAACCACGGGTATCGAAATCCGGTTTCTAGAGTTGTAAGTCCGCAGACATACCGTTGTGCCACTGGAGGGGGGGGGGCACATATTATGCATGTACTTAAATATCTTTTAAACTCGATTCAACACAATAGGTGGCGCTACATTTCGATGGATAGACACGCGACAGTTTCTAAAGGTAAAGTATATACATTTTATACATGTATAACTTAAAAAGTAAACAAACGTATTAAAAGATTATGAATTTTAAAATGAAGTAAGGATACTGCTACAAAAAGTAATGAAACAAGAATTAAAACCACGATCAAAAATTTATAAAATGTAATCCCTATTTTGACAGCTGTATACAGTTATCTGTAGGCCAAAGTAAGAATTACACTTTATAAATTTGTGATAAAATCATTTTAAAATGTATCCAACTAGTATCACTTTACTTGTTTGTGTACTTTTAATTGCTGCATTTATTTTGCTTTCTAAGAACAATCAATGATCCCTTCTTTCCGTTAAAATTTTAATTTTCTTTTCCTATTTATGTATTATGGCACAATTCCTTACTTATGTAATGTATTATGCCTATAACTGTATTCATTTTGGAGCAATTTGGAAAATTCTTAGTTTAAAATGTTTAATTTGTTATTGTATTCACCTATTCTCTTAACATTTTTGGTCTATGGTACTTAATAATAAAATTTTCTGAGTACTTGACCTTGAATTACCTCAATGGTATTTTTATAAGGTAGGCCCACAACACTAATAATTATTTTCATATATCTTTCCATTTCTGAAGTATTTTCTTGAGAATGAAATTCTGAATCACCCTTTAAGATAAAGATAAAGTCTATAAGATAAAGTGACATTGAATATATCTAGAAACTTGTCGCTGCACATATAAAGAGTTTAGAAGGAGTGTTTTGTCTTATGTTTCAGTTAGCTGACAGTTTTAACATCCCGTTTTTTGAGTGCAGTTGTAAGCAGAACATCAATGTTCAAGAGACATTTTTAGCTTTAGCGAGGCTAGTTCGACAAGAAAGGGAGAGAAGGGTAAGCGAGTAATTCTATTTTCAATCTTGAAACCTTTAACTGTATTTCGAAACAACCTTAAGTCACACAAAGAATCATCTTCAAATTAGCATCTTATCGCCCAACGTTTTGTCCAAGTGTCCTCCTTGTACTAATGAGTAGATCTCGTCCTCCAAAGCATTGTGTAATAGTTCTTTGTAACTAACGTTTCCTACGTAAGATTAATTTTCTGCGTGTACTTGAAAATATCTCTCTCAGAAATGAAACTTTATGCGATTAATAAAATATTTTTCAAAATAATCAGTTACCCGTTTAAAGCCATTTCTTTGACTTATTAAAGAAGTTCGTGAGTTCTCCATATCACTTATATGGTCGTTGGTACTTTTATACTCTATGGTGATAACGTTTATATTTATGAGAATATAGTAAAAAAAAAAGACTTACGATAAGGTACATCTCGCCTCACAGCAGCGCGAACTTACTTGTAAGCCAGATAGATTTTGTTATCATTTGTTAACGATTCATGTGGATTTAGTGTAGCTTTCGGCTTGAAATCCGTTGAGGCTAGTAGCTTCAAATAATGTTACTTCTGCATCACCCTGGATTCATTTTGTCATTATTAAGAACCAGTATAGGAAACGAGAAAAACACCGAAAATATGGTAATATTTATGCTAAAGCCTGCACACGTTTTTAGAATATTGTAATAAACCCAACAAACTGACTTAAATTTACTATAAAAAAACAGTATTTAAAACAGGAACTTTGTGAATGGTCAACGAAAAAATGAAGATTTGAAATTTGGGTTCTGAGAACCTCGAAGTAAGAAAATAACATCTGCATAGGTAATAAGTATATATGTTAACTTAGTATATATGTTAACTTATTTGCACCTTTGGTTTTTCTACACTATTCAAAATAACTTAATTTTGGAAATATTTACAAATTAATCGTTTATTTCAAAATCTACTGTTTTAAAAACTGTATATGGAGTAACAAACAATAGGCTTTACACAAATGTTATGTTTTCAGAAGTTAATATTTTGACATACTTAAGAATTTTTCTTGGTATGAAATGTCTAGACATTGTTGAATACAACATTATTTGTAACTTAGGTAAATTAGCTATAACGAAAACAAAATATTACAAATTTTGGGCTACGTGTAATCCAATTCTATTGAACCAGTTACCTTATGAACATGTTATAGCTCGGTATCAATTGAAACAAGAGAGTGGCGATTATTTTATTAAGAAATTCAGTTTATTTATTTATAAATGTTTATCGATAATTCTCGATAATATTTCCTCCTAATCCACGGGTGGATTTAATATATATCATAGTAATACTATATATAGCTTGGAAACCGTTAATTTTTATTTCATTCCTTAAACGAAAATAATTAAAAGAAGATTTAAAATGTTTACGTAAAAATATAACTTGTTGTCTGAATTGATATAATTTAAGTCATTTCAAAAAATACATCATAGAAAGATGGACAAAGGTACACACATATTAAATTGTATCTGTCAACAGTGGGATTTTTATTGTGAATCTCATTTAAACTTATTTGTTATTTTACTATTTTCACACTTATAGAACTGTATGTGTTGTTTATTTACTTCTCATATTGTATTTCTCACTTGTTTCCCTCATAGGCCAGTAAATTGGACGAACTAGAGAGGCAACAGTGGGAGAAGGGTCAGCTAAATACGCTCGAGCAGAATACAACAGGAAACTATCGTTGTTCTTGTTGAGCAGTTATATATATAAGCAAACGAGAACAGCATCGTGTCAAATCGTTGAAATACATATCTCGAACGGCTTGTGAAATTGTATTTATACATATATATATATATATATTTAATTTTTCTAGATGTTTAGGATAAACCACATAGTGGAAATAATAAGAGCTTAGGTTATCGTTTTCGAACCAAAAAATAGCGAATTGTCTGAAACATTGGTAGTTTTTGTACGCTTTATTATTCGTGGTCGATTTACAGCTGTTTCAACTGTCTTCTGTATATTTCATGTATGATTAACCACGATGTATTCTTTTTATTCGACAGTTAAATATAAGCATCACGTGTAGATTCGTATCAATCAAAATAGATGGTGAGAAATATCACTTCAAACAACTACAACCAAATATATTTTATAGTTTATTTATTTTCATTGGTAGCAGAGACTGATCGTAGGTTGTCGTCACTTCATCAATAGCAATGGTTGTTCACGAGATCGGTTTCAAGATATTTATAAGTTTATCTTATCACCTTGAATATACAGTACTGAACGTGATATCCGAAAACACGTTACTATCTACGGGTTAAAAAGATATAGTGTTCAGGTACATTGAATATGTATTAAGATAATGATATTGAGTTTTAACAGACAGTTTAGAGCTCAACTCTAATTCGTCGAAAAGCTAAAAAAAAATTGTTCATTACAAAGCGGATAAATTATCTTTCTGTATTTATATTCGGTGTATTTTAAAGCCTTGAAAGAGTTTACTGTTTATAGAACGACTTTGTGTTACTTGACGAAATGATCAATCATAAATTCACTCTTTACATTTGTTTTCATTCACGAATTTTTGGCTTTTTTTTTTGTTGTTTTACAGAACATTCGTTGCACCACCCAACTATGAAGTTTGTTTAACATACTTGTCTTTAGTTTATTGTGATGACATCAGACTTACAGAAATGAATTCTATGTCAGTAAGCACCCACGGAAACAGCTAATGTGTTTGAAGTTTGTTTTTTTTTATTGTTGAAAGTTGATTATAGAAAACTCCAAAATCCACTTCTTGTACTAATAAATTATCCGCGATTGAAACAGAAACGTTGCATCTTAGTTCAAGTTAAAGCACTAGAAACAACCATTTAAACGTATATGAAAATTTTCAATTATGTAACACAGCTACGAAAGATAAAAGAAAAAACAGATGAACAAGATGACAAAGATAGTAGTAGTTTAAGACACATAATACCGTGTATTTTAGCTAAATTAACGAAAAAGAAACTCACACTTTCAGAACAGAAGATAATTACAAATACTATGAAAATGGTTTCAACATTTCCACGTGTCCTCTTTAATCCTACAGTCTTCCGAGACGAAACGTGTCAACACAGTTTAGATAAGGCCCGATCGTGAATTTCCTTTAAGGACGCACGTGGTTAAGAAACAGCTCAGTTTAAAGTACCCGTCAGGGGTGTTAAAGTTTGTTGCAACTTTTAACAAATTTTCGTTTTAAAGTAATTTTCAGTTTTATATATATTTAAGTTGGTTTCCAGTTCATGGGGTTGTCAAAGTCTCGTGTATGGAGATACATTACATTATATGATAGGGTTGTCAAAGTCTCGTGTATGGAGATACATTACATTATATAATAGGGTTGTCAAAGTCTCGTGTATGGAGATACATTATATTATATGATAGGGTTGTCAAAGTCTCGTGTATGGAGATACATTACATTATTTAATAGGGTAGTCAAAGTCTCGTGTATGGAGATACATTACATTATTTAATAGGGTGGTCAAAGTCTCGTGACCAGATACATTACCTTATTTAATAGGGTGGTCAAAGTCTCGTGAATGGAGATACATTACATTATTTAATGGGGTGGTCAAAGTCTTGTCTATGGGGACACATTACGTTATTTAATAGTGTGGTCAAAGTCTCGTGTATGGGGATACATTATTTAATAGAGTGGTCAAAGTCTCGTGTATGGGGATACATTATTTAATAGGGTGGTCAAAGTGTCTTGAATAGGGATACATTACATTATTTGTATTTCCGTTTTTAGTGTCTCTTCTTGTTTTTAAAACTTCTTCACATGAAAATTTCAGAAATAGCATTAAATGAAAAATAACTTATACTTCTGTATAAGTTCTTGTGTAACCACATAAAGTTTTATTTTAAATCTGTTTGAACTTCTTAAATATTGAACTAAGTTTTTTTATTATTTTAGTTTAACATCAATATATACATGTATAATGTTAGTGGCTACATACTCATACTTGTATTTACCTTGGTTCCGTTTAAAATTAACAGTTTATTTTAAATGTCTAATACTAAACATGAAAACATCCTCTCAAGTCGTTTATGTTTATAACGCAATAACGAAGCCCAAACTTTGCAAGTATAACCCTCTGTTTCTTATTACTGACTTTTTGGGTAGAAGTTTAGGTTTCATTTTTTGAACTCATATTTTCAAGTTAATTATGATACCGTGAATTTCATATTTAAAGAATTTACCTATGCTGAAGAGTTTTAACAATGGTTATTCGGCCATCTCTCAAAGATACAGTAAATAAATGTAACTATTGCAGAACGAAAAAAATTAGCCCGAATAAGACTTCTACATAAAAATCGATACGTGTTCCCATTCAAGAAAGAAGGCAGAAACAGTTCATAACAAGAATCAGACCTACAAAATTACTTTCTGTTTACCTCATAGAATTAAAATTGTGTAGGAACTCGTATTCAACGTCAGAGTTTAAAAGCTCTTCTTCGTTCGTCGGAGAACAAACAGAACTTTTCCTTAAACACTTACGGTAAGGTTTTAATGATAATATATTATTGTTGTTATGGTGTAGAGTAGATCATACGCCTGCGGGAATGAATCCCTTTTGTTATCACTACGTATAGTTCAGAACTCTCCGGAGGACAACACAGATTAACATCCAAAACCTAGGATATAAAGACACTGTTAGCTAGGAGCAACCAGGAATAATTACATAGCAGTATATAATTCAGAGTTAGGTTTAGGTGATCGTTTAGGTCACTAATGACAATGACACACACACACACTGTCCTTGCTTTTTTTTATCGTGCTTTTTCAAAAAAGAATCTTTTGTTTTTGTTGATACTGTTATTTTCAATTAACTTAGGATCAGAGCAAGCTATGTACTTAGAGAGGAACTAAGAGTCAATCTGTCAATACACTCTTCGTACGTTTCTACCTTTAAAGATTAGAATACATTATTTCATCAGTTAGGTTATAAAATTTGATATATTTAATAGTATGTCTAATATTGTTAATAATAATAATAAATAATGCATACTTTACTTAGGAAACACAGAAACATTAGCTATTGAATTAAACTACTGTCTTAGAAATAGATTTCTTCGAAAAACATATTCTTGGCATAACAAATCTGTTTTTGTCTGATTCTCCCTAACACGTTTTTTGGCCAAAGAAAACTCATTGTGCCACTCCTATTGTCTAACGTTAGAGGACAGTGACATCTGTTACAATTTGCGAGACACATACTATTATTTTAACTGTGTCGAGATAATAGCTGTAATAGTACAATTAAAAACTATATATTTATGAAGGTACAAAATAACAAATACGAAACTAAAATAATACAGGAAACGTCCATGAAAAAAATAACAATGTTAAATGCAATATAAAGAAAACAACAAATAAAATATAATTTATGGCGTGTCTCAATAATTAAACGTGTAGTGTCTGAGAGTAGACAAACATTTTAGGATGGGCGGATATTGAAGCTGAATCCGCATGACAATGTAATTAGTGTGTTGTTTTTTTTTTTAATTCAAAGATTCAAGTGTGAATATAAATAAATAACTGGTTCCAACTGTTGAAAAACCTAAATTAAGATGTTCAAAATCCTGAAGCTGTAAAGTTGGAACAACAAAGATATACTAGTAGTAAGACTGTTGGATAGAAATATGTAAATATATTTATATATCTGATATGTTTCCCTAACCTAATAAAATATGTTGAAAACAAACAAAGTTTGTTTAAGTATCGACAAAAAAAAGAAGGAAACTTAATGCCACGAATGTTCAAATAAATCTTCCAGTTTGTTGGGATTTAAAATTAAAGCTCGCAACAGGGTACAGGGAATAACGTCATTGGATATCTTTCGTTATGATATTCAGTGTATCTCTTTTGTAAATTCTAAAAACTTATGAAAGTTTCTGATGTTTACTCCTCTTTCTAATGAGTTTGAGTCTAAACATTATGGTGCTCTTTTTTTTTTTTTACAAATTTCTGATAAATATAAGTTGTAAAATTATTTTTCTATCTATTATCGTTTTGCTGAATTTTTTATAAATGATGTTTGTTTTTTAAATTTTCAAATACTTATAAAAAAAATGGAATATTATTTGTTTCTTTACATTGTGAAAAATTGGAAGACTGTTTGAATAAATATTGAATAGTAGGAAAAACGACTGCGTTCGTTTTGTTATTTGCTTACTTGCCAATATTTTGAAATTAGAATAAATCGTCGTTTCCAAAAGTGTGAGGCCTCTACTAGGGACGAGAAACTACGGTAGAGTCCATATAGCGCAAAATTAAGCGTTTCAATACAATTCTATTAATGAAAATAATAAGTAATTACTATAACACATATAGTATTTTACTGTGTATCTGTGTATTATGTCTAGTCACTTAACTGACTCGGGTAAACGGAGGGAATCCTCAATAGCCGCGGCTGTAATTAGATCTCAAATCGGTCAAAAGATGGAGCTATGAGCTAAAAGTTTGTACTTGAAAAGAAAAACAAGACTTAGAATACCATTCTATAAGCCGTTATGCGCCGGCTAAAAATGAGGGGGAGCGCAATAAACCATATTTATTCAAGGGGGCGTGGATGACAAAATTTTGGGAAATGCTGATATAACTAATTACTTTAAATTGAGATTTGTGTTGTCAGTAGGAGTAGTGTCGTATTGAGGAAAAATTTTCGACTCGTATATTTCTAATCTGAAAACAATGTTTAAAGTAAGTGGACAAGCCTAGATAAAGATCGATTTTTCTGACATTTCTAGTGGAGCTAAAACCCAGTAGCTATCCCCCAACCCACCTCTCAGATATGTCTGTAATTGAGAATAGCCAGAATCACGGAAATTCGGGGCACGGGCCCCAGTGTGCCAGCGCCTAGCGACACCTCTGATCGGCGAGCTGGAACATATTTGGGCTTACATTTGATTCAGACAAAATGTCAGTAGTTAGAATTGCTAAACATAAGTAAACTTCTAATGTCCGAGTTGAAAAAGTAAGTTTCAACCATATCGTAGTGAAACAGAACTTGTGATTTAGAGACGTGCAGCTAGGTTCTCAACAACTTTTGTTTTTTGTCACGTATGTATGCTGACAAATTTAATATATCGTTTCCATGTCTATGACATAAAAATAATTAACAATAAAGAATTCATATTGTGAGAGGATGAATTTGAGAAATTTTCATTTAAATTCAGATTTAAAAGAGCGAGATAGAGAGAATTTGGTTACAGAAGCATGCTGACATTCCATGATCATTAATATTGGTTAATTAAGGGTGTATTTTCAGGTTTATTTGTTTTAGAGGAAAGACACATTGGACTATCTGCTGTGTCCAGCGCAGTGGAATCGAACCCCGGGTTTTAACGTTGCAATTCCCATCGGGGGGGAGGGACATATTTTTAAGTACGTTGCACTTGTTAATTGGGTTATAACTGAAAGGAGAAGGATAAATGACATTAAAACTGTTTAGGAGAAATAATATTTATTTAAAATCGTTTGGTATAGATACCTACTTTTTATTTTACCGTTGGCAAGCACATTTATATTTTATACCGAAGCAGTTGTTTGTCGATTTATCTATAACAATACTTGATATTTTCAATTTGAATGGCATCTTGTTCAACACATAAGACTTGAACAGGTCAAATATCTGAAGATTCAAGCATAGCCGTCCCTAATTTTGAACTGCTGAGCAGTCCTTCGGTATCATCTGCCGCCTATTCGACTACTCTCAGCCTGTTTTAAAGCTCCCACAGCTAGAAAGTTTGTAACGTACCCAGCGTCATGTTGTGGGTGAACTTTAAACCTTCGAAAACACAGACCTGCACACTAACTATTAGGCCTCGCCTGGACCTAGTTAGGTACTACTCAGCTCGTTCTAGCTCAGGGGTCACCAAACTACGGCCCGCGAGGTCAGTTCATCCGGCCCACCACTGCCCTGTGCCACAAATGAGCTAAAATATAATTATTTATTTGGAAATATCATAGATTGTAGATAAACTTACTATGTAAAAAAATTAAAAGAAGTGTAAGTAAAAATGTCCAAATTTGTCCAATCTGATTTTTGCATCTGACAGTAATATCAATTTTAGAAAAATCAGTGAAATAAAAAATTCGGCGACTTTGGATTTTGGAGTGCTTTTTGTGTAAGTACCTGCAATGAGAGTTCATTCCTGCAGTCACCTCTGCGTGCATTGTTGTAAGATGATACAATGCTTACAGGCTGTTGATACAAGTAGTTTGACGAGTGTGCGCGTGGTTACA